AGGGTCATCATGGTTCGGTTTTATCCTGTAGACAATACTGCACATGTAAAACCAGGTTTGTAAAGTGGTTAAGACAAGCACAGAGGAGAGATTGCCTTTATATTAGATGGAGCTAAGTTGATTGTCTCTCTCTCTCTCTCTCTCTCTCTCTCTCTCTTCCCCCACAGATTTAACAAGAGGTAAGAGAAACTTTATTGACCTTATCAACGTGTGGAGCATCAATTAAATTACTCTCTCTCTCTCTCTCCACACACACAGTTTTAACAAGGACCTCCACGGTTGTATAAATGATAGAACTTTACCGACCTTATCAACGGGTGGAGCGTCAATTAGCTAGACCACGAGGATCATTTATGCACGCTCCACTTGTCCTGCCGTCTGCTCGTCACTCCGTCCGCTCGTCACTCCGTCTGCCCGTCACTCCGTCCGTTCTTCACTCTGTCCGCTCGTCATCCGTCTGCGCCAACCTCCGTCCGTTCTTCACTCTGTCCTCGTCCTCTGTCTGCTTGTCACCCCGTCCGTTCGTCACCTCGTCCTCGTCCTCCGTCCCGTTCATCCTCGTCCGCTCGTCCCGTCCTTCGTCACCTCGTCCGCTCGTCCTCCGTCCGCTCGTCACTCCGTCTGCTCTGTACTCCGTCCGCTCGGCACTCCGTCAGCTCGTCACCTCGTCACTCGTCACCTGTCCGTTCGTCATTCGTCCGCTCGTCCTCCATCTGCTCGTCACTGTCCGCTTGTCACTCTCACACCTTGAAGCACGAAAAAAAATAGAAAAAATTCGTCTTCTATTACCTAAAAGACCATCTCATTATGGTAAATGTTTGTAGACACGGAGAGACATACACATACACATACATTACATACTGTACATATACATACATAAATACTGTACACACATACACACACGGCCGGATCTGAGAGAGATATATAACTACCTTAGCACACAGGTAATGGGCTCAAGAGTTTTAGAACACGTTAATTAATCACACACCTTGACTGACTCCCCCTAAATACGTCTTTTGGACTGAGACGGAAGACAGTGAGGAAGGAAGAGAACGGGTGAAGGTAGAGAGAAAAGATGGAGGGAGGTAGGGAAGGAAGGGTGAAAGGGGATGGGAGGAAGAAAGGGAGAGAGAATGGGTAGGGGGAGGAGAAGAGAGAACAAAGGAAGGAAGGGGAGAAGGGGGAAGAAGGTGAGGGGGGAAGGTAAAGGAAGGAAGGAAGGAAGGAAGGAGGAGGGGGAGGGAGGAGGAGGGAAAGGATGAAAGGAGAGAATAGAAAAGGGTAAGAGGGAAGGAGGAAGAGCGGAAGGAATAATATAGAGAAGAGAAGAAGGTCGGAAGATATAAAGAAGGAGAAGGAAGGAAAGGACAAAAAGGAAGGAAGGAATGAAAGAAGGAATGAAGAAAGGAAGGAAAAAATAGGGAGATTGGACTAACAATACAAAGAAGAATATAAAGAAAGAGGAAAGGAGAAAAGGAAGGAAGGATGGAAGGAAGGAAGGAATGAAAGAAGGAATAAAGGAAGGTAGGAGAAGGCAAGAGAATTGGACTAACAATACAACAAACACATCCATCATTTTTCCCTCAATTTTTGTGTTTTTTTTGTGTGTGTGTGTGTGTGTGTTTTTCCCATCACCTAAACAAACTCCCTAGACCACAAGCTTCAACCAAAACAACAACAACAACAACAACCAAGTGGTAGTTTAGCGCGACCAACAACCATTCAACAGGAGGGAGGGAGGAAGGGGAGGGAGGAGGGACAACTAGGGTCCTACACACTCAGTTTGCTCATCTGGTCAGCCATTACCGTGGAAGGACAACGATCATTCCCTTTCATCTCAAAGTAAACCCCTGCTTCAGCCCTCCGTTTGTTTATTATATCCCTCCCCTCCTCCCTCCCTCCCCTCCCTCCCCTACCCCTTTAACTCAGCTGTTTTCCTCCTCCTCCTCCCCAACCAAACATCTTCACTACAGCAGCTTCTACTACACTGGTGGTTTTATGTCATTTGATTGGTTTTAGTAAGTATATTTAAGTAGGTTTTTTTTTGTTTTATTTATGACTGAGAGAGAAAAGAGAGGGCGGTGAGGCAGAATATTTACACTGATTCTCTCTCTCTCTCTCTCTCTCTCTCTCTCTCTCTCTCTCACCCAGGAAGGATTAAACTACAGGGGCAGTGTATGTTGCGAGACTCAGGCATGATTTGGCCGGCAGTTTGGTTCTGCTTATCTTAAAATAGTTGTGTGTGTGTGTGTGTGTGTGTGTGTGCGTGTGTGTGTGTGTGTGTGTGTGTGGTACATCATTCTCCAAATCTGTGCTTGTGTGATCGACTACCCACACACACACACACACACACACACACACACACACACTACTCACTACATGCAGATATCCTCACTATGAATAAAATGACGACCTCTTCGGAGAGAGTTGATGTTAAGTGATGGTAGCAGATCGATACCCCAATACTACCCTGGGTTACGAGGCACTCCACTAGCTGCCTCTCACTGACCCTAGCTGCCTCTCTGACCCACTAGCTGCCTCTCACTGACCCCACTAGCTGCCTCTCACTGACCCCACTAGCTGCCTCTCACTGAGCCCCTGCTGCCTCACTGACCCTACTAGCTGCCTCTCACTCACCCCACTAGCTGCCTCTCATTCACCCCACTAGCTGCCTCTCACGCCCTCCTGCTTCAGTCACCTTTAGCTCCTCTCACTGCCCCTCATTCACCCCACTAGCTGCCTCTCACTGACCCCACTAGCTGCCTCTCATTCACCCCACTAGCTGCCTCCACGCCCTCCTGCCTCTCACTCACCCCACTAGCTGCCTCTCACTCTCCTATTACCTCTCCCTACGTTACTGCCCTTACTCTCTCACTGCCTCTCACTCTCTTATTGCCTCTCCCTATGTTACTGTCTCTCGCTCATTTACTGCCTCCCACTTTCCTACCCCTCTCAGTCCCTCCTCCCTCCTCCCCCTCTCATTACCTCACTGCCGTACACTGACATAGAGGCATTATGCGTGTAGTCTCTCTCTCTCTCACACACACACACAAGACCTAGCGAACGACGTTAAATAACCCAGGTAATAGAAGCACCTAAAACTAACCCTGGTAGTTGAAGCACCTAAAACCTACCCTGGTAGCTGAAGCACCTAAAACCTACCCTGGTAGTTGAAGCACCTAAAACTAACCCTGGTAACTGAAGCACCTAAAACTAACCCTGGTAGCTGAAGCACCTAAAACTAAAATTTAATGAAGGATACTTAATAACCCACGATAAGAATAAAGCACCTTAACAACAGACATCAGGGAACAACGGTATACGTGTAGCTGTAGGTAATTTACATACGGCAGAGAGAGAGGGGGTAGGGAGGAGGAGGAGAAAAGGGAGAAAGAGGGAAAAGGATGGAGAACCAGGATACCTCTTAGTACACACGAGCAGCTTCATCACATCGGAGTGGTGACTGGTAATAATCCCATCCGAGGGGGGGGGGGGAGAGGAAGGGAGGGTGGTAGGAGGATAGAGGAGAGAGGTAGATGAGGCTGATGAGCTCAATAAGGCTTCAATAAGGCTTCCCTTCCCCGACATGTGGCCCACATACCCAGCCAAATTGGTGGATTAGAGGGACTATATGAAACCCGCCAACTCAGGACAGATTTCACACTACCCTGGTTCTGTCGGTCTCTCCCCCCCCCCTCCCCTACCTATAGCTTTAGAGGGAGGTGGTTGCGAGGAAGAGGTATAGGGAGAGGGTAAGGAGGTAGGATAAGGTAAGATATAGGGGTATAGATTAGAAAAGATATAGGGGTAATGGAGAGGTAGCACACACACACACACACACACACACACACACACACACACACACACACACACACACACACAGAGGGTCTCTCATAACGACGCAACTTTCAATATAACGAAATTAAACCCTAAGCTTCCAATCCCTAACCCTTTAAAAACAATAACAATAGTCCTCTGTGATAAACTCCCCAATAGCCAAAAAATAAAAATAATAATCGGATCACCTGAAGATTAGACACTCCAGTTCATTTCACCTGATGATTAAACACCCTAACGATACCTGGGGGGGGGGGTGGTGGCTGGCTAGATTAGGTTTGGTTTGGCTTGGTTAAGTTAGGTTGGGTTAGATTAGGTTAGGTTTAAGTTAGATTAGGTAAGGGTTAATTTAGGTTAGTTCAGCTAGGTTATGTTATGTTATGTTATAAAAAAAGTAACGTACAAGAATTGTCTTCACCAGCCAATCAAATTTCATCCACATAAAAAAAAAATAATAAAAGCCAAAAAAAAATGTCCTCTAAATCTGCACCAAGATGAAGGAAAAAATCGTCAATGGTTTGTGTGTAATGAACGACGAGGGAAAAAATAATGACCATAGAGAGATGTGGAGAGACAAGTACTTTAAGCAACAATCCCCCCTACCCCCTACCCCCTCTTCAGTTTTACCTGTAAGGGACTAATACTATGGGCTACGGACGTATTTTGTTGTTGTGTGTACTGGTTAGGTTAGGTTAGGACAGGTTAGATTTGGTTTGGTTAGGTTAAGTGTGTACTGGTGACGCTGTCTGACTTGTTTATGTAAGTTATAGTAATCGAGTTAGATCACCTTAAGATTGGCTCCCCCACACAGCTTATTTTACATTAGGATTAATTACCTTAATGCTAATTTAACATATACTAATCTAATCGTATCTAAATTATCATGACCTAATCTAACTTAATTTAATAAAACCTTACCCCCTCCAGGTAGTGTTAGGGTGTTTACTCGTCAGGTGGGTGGGGCTGATCTTAAGATGCTTCGTAATGTTTAATGTTTGTTACTGGCCGTGAAGTCTTTCTTATTTTCAGGTAAAGTTTTATTGTAAGTTTCTCTGGGTGAGATATTGTAGGTACGACGCCGAGCCTTACCAGATGCACATGCTCGTATAAGAAATTAAATATGATGAATAAGAAAGTTAGTAACTGTGATTTTTTTCCGGCAGATGGCGACACCGGAAGCCAACGTGACGGGTGTGCGGGGGTCGGGAGACGTGAGCCCTGGCCACGCACCTCCTCCCAGACACCTCCACAACTTCAATACCTTCCAGTTCGTGTCTCAGCTGGTGTCGGCCACGCCCCCCTACCTGTTCAACATGTCAGCACCTTTCCCCGGCAACTTCTTCAGCGACCTGCTGCGTCGCATGGCCCCTCGTGCTGGCACTCCGGGGCTGCCCCCTGACCAGACCTTACAACAGCACATCAGGGCCGCTCTACTGGCCAAGAGCACTCCCCCGCCCCCACCCTCACTGCCACCCACAGTAATGCCGCCCCCTCTGGACCTGGCGGCCGCCACCCATCGCAACCAGGCGCCCCCACAACTGCACCACGACAAGGGCATCAAACGCTCCCTCTTCTCCGATGTGTCGGCGCTCAGCTCCAGCGAGGACGAAGTGGGCGCCAAGAGGCCCCGCTTGGAGAGTGAAGGACGCGAGGCTGACAAACACCCCTCAGAGGGCCTGCCAGCCCCCTTCCTCATGCAGGCACCTTTCCTGCCCACCTCTGTGCCCCCTCCACACGACGTACTCAGCCCATGGTCCACTCGGGCGTCGCTCCTCCGCCCACAAGTGCCCATGGCTGCCCATGTACCGCCCACACCCCTGGACCCCTACCGTCTGTTGCTGGACTTGCGACTGGCCGGGCAGCTGCGCACTATGGCGGCCACACAGGCGTTGCACAATAAAGACACAGCTATAGGTGGAGGAGGCGGGGGAGGGCTGGGGTTTCACCCCCCCATAACCTCCTCTCACTCACCCATCACCACCATCAAGTCTTTCTCCTCCCGCAACTCACCGCCACTACTAGAGTCCCGCCCCCCACGGGACGACCCGCCTCCCGTGTCAGCCCCGACTAGTATGGGAGTCCTACATGGCGGCGATGACCGAGTGTCAGCATTTCACCCACCCTCACGCCCACACCCAGACCCCGCCGATACCAGCGACGAGGACACAGGTGAACGACGCAGCTGTAGTAGGAGCAGCAGCGGCAGCGCCAGCAGCAGCGCCAGGGAGGGGCTTGGCCCTCAGTACATCTTCAAGCACCTCACCCAGATATACCGCACCATCGACGGTCATAAAGTAGAGGGTAGCGACGGTGTGGAGGACCTCCGCCATGATGACGGGCGTAAGGAGGCGCCCCCAGGCTCTCCTGACGGCAGCAGGGGTGGCAGCAGGGGTGAGTGTCGCGGGGAGGGTCAGCCCCTGCACGACCCCCGGCCAGATGTGGGTCGTGACGACGGCCGCACCAAGGAGGGTTGATGGTCGTCCAGGTGACCCAGCACTGTGGCCCCCCACACCCACCTGGGGGGGTCACACACCCTCCTCAACACCCACCGGTGTATAATACATAATGTTGCCAAAAGAAAACCGGAGCCAAAGCTCGCCTTTTATGATACAACCTCACTTTCTCACCTTCTATGTGATACTCTTGTTTGTGATGATTTGCGCTTCTGTTATGTTCAGTTACTCCTGCCGGCGTCTTGTGACGTCTCTGACGCAACGCTCCCCTTTTGAACAATCTCGCTAGTCATTCAGTGTTCAATGTATAGTTCACTAAGACAACTAAATGTCCAGTTTTATTGTTTTTATCTATTCTTTGACAATTCTTTAGATGCCAAAGGTAGTGTAGTTGTATAGAGATCTTTGTGTATATGGATTCTGTCTCCTTCCATGAGCGGGAGGTTCTCAGCTCACGGCCCAGCCACCACCACGCACTACATACACACCCTCACCACCAGGGTTGGCCGGCTATGCCACATCCTGCACACAGGAAACTTGGGTGAACACAGTTTACCCAAGTCCTGGCAGGATGCACGCTTAAATCTCTTACAACCTAACCTAGCCTAGCCTAGAGGAACTTAATCTAGCCTAACCTAATCTCGCTTAACCTAACCTATTTAGCTAAACCAAACTTAGCTTAACCTCATCTAACCTAACTTAACCTAACCTAACGGAGGTCGTATATCACCTAAGTTATATTGGTTTAATCTTTATATTAGGTTAGGCTGGGTTTATGTGACGCTGCGTCCTGGCCAGGCGTGGTGATGAGGGCGTGTGTAGCGCCTTCTGCTGTACTGGGACTGGTTCCTACCCTACACTAGGCCCGGTCCTCAGCCTCACACGTACACTCCACCTGGTTCCTATTATCCTCTGGGGAAATCAACAAAGCCTCGTCCTAGTGAACCGGTGTTTGAGTCCTCGACCCAAGTGAGCTGAAGTACCGAGGTGTTGAGGTCCCTCTGATAAAGTATACAAGGTAATGTTTCTCCGGCTGTCTGGCAAGGTTATATTAATGTAAAAAGTGGACTTGTAATTTTTCAAAACACGGGATATGTGTGTAACAATGAACAGACCGACCGCCTGAACGGTTAGTAAGCGAACTAGTACAGTAAATGGTTATGTTTCTTGGACTGTCTGGCACTGAAGCTAATGTAAAATTTAGACGACTAAGTCTTTAAAGTATAGAAGCTATTAATATTTTATGGACCATATAGCAATAATATTTATGCAAAATTTTGATCTATAATCTGATTGGCAATGACATAATATTTAGCATCATGTTGTTCCCCTTTATTGTGATGCAATATTTACAACAGCAACATGATGGTTCAGTGTCCGAGTCCTCGTTTCTCGGCTGGTGTTCGAATCATTATTTCATGACTACAAACAACGGGTGTTTACCATAGTCCACAAGTAACAGCTGTATCCAGATATGCATTATGCCTGTGGCTGGTCAATATGCTGCATTTTTGTCTGACATAATAGGAAAGGAGCGTTATCTTCTCCAAACCAGGAGACGTTAATTTGTATACTTACTTTGTACAGGTATTCTTAAGATCAGTCCTGGAAAGCGGTCGCCAAAGCGTAATACGCCAAAGTTTATTTTAATTTACCAGCTTAACGTCTACGTAAAGACAATCAGTGTCTTGCAATCATCAGTTCTCACAGGCTTCCAAATGTTTCAAGAATTTTCACTTCAGTAAACACGAGAACGAAGTTGCTGTTCGAAGCCTAGTCGAGATATTTACACAAGTAGTGCCAAAACTACAAAAGAACATATGCGTATTCAATTACACCAAAAAATTACCTCAAGAAACTGTAAAATGAGATTCAAGACTTAGTATCACAGTAAGTTGTTTAGATCAATACTCACAACATGGCAAAAATGTCCACGTGAGTTGAGGGAAGACTGTACCGCTGACACATCACGCACTGGGCGGCCACCAACTGCCTCATGATAAATAATACCGGTGAATGAGGGTGTGGGTGAGGTCAGGGGACTGTAGGTGGCAGGATTCGTCTCTGGCGCCCACCTGCTCCCCTGCACCTGGCTCACAATCCTGATACACCTTACCTTTACACGGGTTGTTACATTTAAGGGAAAGCGAAATATCCCTCATATTCGAATAGCAACTTGGTCTCGTGAATAATTCTTCAGTATGTATATAGCCTTTACCTTCTCCATGTCTCTATAATGGCCCACAAGTGTGTCCGCTTATTGAGGGTCGGGTGACGCCGGGAACCACAGCGTCACTCACGGTCACACTGAACCCCCGCACATCTACTGGAGGACTGTCTGAGATGGTGCTAAACTACCTCCACGTGTTATTAATACAACCTTCGCGCTCGTTAACTAAACTGCAAAAGAGAACAGTGATGATCTTGATAACTTAAACAAATTATCAAAGATGCGAACGTGTGGACAGTCTCATTTTGTACAGGTTTTGTCGGGACTACTATACTGACCGGGGCAGGCAAAGACTCGACTCCGACTCTCGCCCACGTTGAGCCACACTACAAATGGCACATATAATATCACCTCTCCTTAATAAGATGCATCATAATATTGTAGTTACTGGTTATCCTGCAGTAGTTTTCCCCTTTAATGGCAGGTATACGTTTCTTACATAAAAGTTTAAAATAATTATAAAAGCTGCACACACACCGGCAATGAATGAAACACAGAAGTGGCCAGTGTGGACATGCATGTCAGTCTAGTTCATCACAGTCAGCGTCATATGTTTATAGTGGTTGTGTCAGTTTCATTTTGCTGCAGTGAGGACGTCAAGACTACTGGGTGGCCCCGACCCTCAGGCAGCAGTAGACTGGCTTGTGTGTGTACGTCTTCTCCAGTCATTGAAACTGTGTTCACATAGGTGACTGTCAACCTCCACGTTTAGGCAGCACCTCGATTTATACATCTGACGCTATATAGATCCATAAGTTAAACTCTTAATCCTTCTGTTATGTCGCAAGAGATAAGAGGACTGACAACGCTCGCTTGGTCATAATACTGTACTTGTATCTCCAAATCAAAACTACTGGACTCTATCTCAACATGTGAAAATTTATCATAGTGAATGAAATGTTCAAGATATCAATATGCTATAACATTGGTATTGGCACCTATGCATATAAACAAACCAAATTTACTAGTAAGTGATTGTACCTGTGTCTCAAGTAAAGTCTGTATATTGTTGTGTTGTTTCTCATGTAAATAACAGAAGACGAATTTGAGGAACTGTGTTTTATTTTGTACTCATCCCCATGTTTATATCATAACATCATTTACACACTACCTAGCATGTGTTATCAACTGTAATGTCTTGTAAAAATATCAACAATAATAATAAATGCTACTTCATATAATAATAATAATAATAATAATAATAATAATAATAATAATAATAATAATAATAAAATAATAAATACCACCTACTACTAATACACTTGGCCATTTCTACGCTCTAGTATCTACTTCATTTACGCCACGATTAAAGGTAAATTTCCTGACTCTTAAAATACGAACTGGCTTTTTTCTGTAAATGTTAACAGCTGGCAAAAATATGTGATAAATATAACAAAATCCCAGCAGCGTTTTTATATAATATTTATACACGATAATTGTCACTAAAACACAGACAACACAAGAAATGCTATAATGAGAATTATGATGACGTCAGAGAATTATAATCAAACACTCGAGCATAAATACAACTAAAATAGCTTCTATATAACGCATTATTATTACTTTATAAAATAGGAGGTATTTTTTTTATTTGTGAGTTTTGAGTGTTAAGTGATTATGATGTGTTGTGCTGATTCTTCATTTATAAATCATATAGTGGTTAACTTATCATAATTAATATTTATTCGAATATTTTTCAGGTTAACTTTGTTAACTAAATGACGTTAGGACATAAACCACAAATTAAGAAAGGTATACCGTCATTACGGAAAAATATTATAAAAGAAAAAAATATTCATACCGCCATTAATTTTCTATACGAGAACCTCTCAAACAAACTTTAATCTTGAAATACGTTTATTAGATTACAAGCAACATTTTGACATTGTTTAAATATTAACTCTCAATGTGTAAAAAGCTTTAGTCTGCAAATATAAATAAATACGAATGCATTATATAACGATAAATATTGCCAAAGCCACCGACTGTGCAGGCAGGCTCTCTTAACTACACAGGATCACTGACTTATGAAATCACGATTTACTGTGAATAAATAAACCCTCTATCGAGTTATAAAGTGTGATGAATAATGAAAGTGGAAAATGGAATGTAACTGACAAACAGAGAGATATTAACAGTAAGATACTCAGATACATTCCCAGTAACTCACCTAAAAAGCCAAATGAATTTTCTAATATTTACTATCCTTTTACTACAGATGTTAATATGTGTTATCTATATTACTATTTAAATGTTAATAAATACTTGGTACAGAAGTTAGGTTTATTCTGCCTGAGGGAACAGATTTGAAAAAAAAAATAGAGTAAATATATAAACAATTGGCCATTAAAATTATGATGAAAGTTGGCAGCGTCGGCGGCGGCTTATATCGGGGAGTTAAGGAGGTGACTACACAGCCCTGTAACATGTGGCCATTAACTGTTATATTTACCGACAACAGGAGACTACACAGTCATTTAACAGTGTAGTAGCCATTAACTGTTATAGTAAATCACAACAGGAGACTGCACAGTCATCTAACAGTGTAGTAGCCATTAACTGTTTTAGTAATTTACAACGGAGACTACAGGCCTCTACATAAAGTACAGCCGTAAGCTAACTTATATTAACTGAGAGTTCAATTTATTACGATGAATAATAAACATAACTGAACAGATAAGAACTACCACTCACTGTAGAAAATAAAACGGAAGAACAAGAGCACTGTATATACCGTCACCTACTCTGTTTTTATCTTCCCTACAGTGGGATGTCAATGTTATGATTTATGTACTGGGAATCAACCTTAACTCAATTGTCTACCTTAACTTTAGTATCAGTTAGGAGACAAAGTTAAGATTGGAAAAATTTTGTAAACGTTTAATTAAGGTTGAGTCTAGTTAGAGCTAATCATTTAAGTGTCTTTTTATATATTTTCAGTTAAGAGGAATTAGGGACTTATTATTTTTTATTGTCATTTTTAGTAATGACAGGTACGCTGAAAAGGTTCATATGACAGGTATATGACGCTACAAGGCAAGTACGTAGGCCAGGTATATATGACAGGTAACACGATAGGTAACATGACAGGTATATGCCAGGTAAATATTACATATACATGACAGATAATATGACGTAACGACAGGTACCTATGACAGGTACAGTACATATGACCGATAAATGTCAGGTACATACGGCAGGTACACACAACCATGTACGCCAGCAGGGCTTCTACCTTGTGTACATTAGTAGTACACACCGCTATGTATACAATCAGGACCCAATCTTTTGTACTGTACATCAGTAGTACAGTGACGCTATATGAGACTTTATCAATATACACAATAAAATGCACAGCATATCTACAGCTTACATTATTCTACAACCGTGTACAGCATTATACATACATATTATGTACTGTATATAGGTAACATGAATGAACACAAAGAAAAAAGTAAAGAAGCAGTGGGTTGGGGATAATAAGCCTCGCGCCTCCCGCCAGACAGGTCGCTTACATCAGATCCACTGACGACTCTAAAGTCTGGCCCAATCCTCAGTAATGGAGGCTAAGCGCATCGGATTTTCCCTGATCCCCAGCGCGCGCGAGCCTAACGTAAATCATTAAAAACAGTCACTCAGGTTTCCAATAATGTCTGCTGGTATAATACTTTGGGAGCAACGGGCGTGAAGAAGGACGACTCCTCAGAAGAAAAGATTTTCCTACGAGAACCGGACATCGTGAAGGGTAGCGCTCTCGCCTCCCAGACCACTAACATGGGTTCGATTTCTGGTGGGGCCAAGAATGAGACTTTCAAAAAAGAGTTATACAGAGAATGTTACAATGTATTTCTTAACCCGAAGATGGTAGGTTATCGGTGGCATGTAAAAGGGTGGCAGGTGGCATAAGGATGTGGAGGTGGGATAAAGAGGATGGCAGGTGGCATAAAGTGGATGGCAGGTGGCATAAAGAGGAGGATGGCAGGTGGCATTAAAAGAAGATAGCAGGTAGCGAGTGACAGGTGGCATATAAAGAGGATAGCAGATAGCTCCTCACCTAACCTTCACTCAAGAGGAAAAACCCGACAGATAGAGAGAGGGGGGAGGGTGAGGGATGGTGATAGTCTGTTGTATAACACATAAAAGGGGTGAAGGTGTCAGGTGAAGGCAACGTTAATGAGACAAGTCACCTTCCTCTCTTCCCTCTCCTTCCCCTTCCCACTTCCCCGTTACTAATAATAAGAAAGATAAATCCCCCTCCCCTTCGTCTTCCTCCTTTACCCTCAAATTAGGAGGACCTTTGCTACCCACACACGATAACTGAAAACTGATAACTGATAACCTCTTCCTCTCAAGTCTCTAATCACTACGTCCATTAAGATAAGAAGTTACATTGAGATAACCTAAAGATTAGCCTAGCTTATTTTACCTGAAAATTAACCACCCAACCTTACCTAACTCGCCAGATAGCATCAGGGTGTTTAATCATCAGGTGAAAAATAAACTGGGTGGAGCTAATTTTCAGGTCAACTTGATATGGTGGAGGCTACTAATCTCACACACACACACACACACACACACACACACAAAGTGGCTCCTCTCTTCGTATCATCTCGGACCGCCACCTTCAACTGCTGTGTATCTCCAGAGAGAGAGAGAGAGAGAGAGACTCAAGACAGATTATTATGAATGATAGACATGCAAAGACAGACAGGCCAACAGACGTTATTATACTGCCATTGTTATTTTTACCCATTTCTCTCACTAATATATCAGCCTCTGTCTGTCTGTCCACATCCATCAAATAGTTATAAGTGATAGTTGGAAATAAGTGGGAGTTATAAGTGGTTATTTATAAGAGGTAAGTAATAGTTATAAGTGATTATTTATAAGAGGTGGTTGTAAATAAGTGAGTTATAAATGGTTGTAAATAAGGTAGTTGTAAGAGGTGGTAAGTGTAAATAAGTGGTAGTTATAAGTGGAGGTAGGTGTAAATAAGTGATAGTTGTAGACAAGTGGTAGTTGGAAGTGATAAAGGGACGCCTTCGTACTTACTGAATCATGCCTGGCCGCCACCGTACCCACCCACCGACCAATCAGCATGCAGATGGCTCCATTGTCGACAAATCAGTGGCAAGATACATCCTTAAATTAGGTTACACTCGGATTCCCAAAGTAATTTGTTTGTCAACTTCACCAGGCAAACTTTATCACAAAAGAAAGAATATATATAACAATAAATGAATAAAGATGAATAACTAATTCAATAATTAGTGAATATTTATACGATATAAGGAAGCAAAGAACCTAAATCGTGCTAATGACCTTATTATAGCGACATATACCCATAGAAAACTATTTTACACCAGAAAAATGAAAAAATAACAATAAATTAATACAGAATAAATAACTTAATAATTACTATAGAAAGTCTAGGAAATCGATTACCCGCCGTATACTTGTATTTGATA